TTTTAATTTTAGATATCGATATTCTATTGAAATAAATAAATAAAACAATAACTTATTGAATTATTAAAGATTTTTTAAAATAAATTTTAAAATGATTAAAATTTATAAGACGTTAAACACATTTCTCGTGTAATTTATTTATTTATTAACGTTTCGTTTGACTTCAGGTATAAGATAGATGCATAAAATGAATATATATTTATAATAAAATTAATTATATATATGTGTATATGTACTATACGGGCATGCACAGAAATATCTTAATGAGAAAATTTATTATGTAGACAGTAGATTGATATGCGTATCTAGGAATAAATTGGTTTGTGTTTTTATAGAGAAACAAGTGCAGTATATACAGTATATATATTTGATACAAAGTAGTCTGTTTAAAATAAATTTTAAACATATAAAAGAAACATTTTCATAACTCAGTGGACGACTTTTTCCAATATAGCAGAGACTATCTCTTCTGTACTAAGCTTCAATACATGAAAGAAAAAGCGAAGGTTTGGAGTTGACCATCTGTCAAACTGACACACAACCCAACAAAGCTCTTCCAGGCAGACTTTATTCCCTTCTGTTATATTGTAAGCTAAAACAGGCCCATCTATAAGCTAGATCAGCGCAACTGTAAAACGTGTTGGCTGCCACAAATTGGTTTCCCTGCTAGAAATGATATTTTTCCGATATATTATAGACAAAATAGCTTTAAACTTCAGTCATAAATGATTCATACTTTTATGTATTTTGTTTTTTCCCTTCTTTTCTTATTCCACGACTCTGCCAGAATTACATGCATCGAAGGTTTTGCATTACACTGATAAAAGAATAATAAAATATTTATGCGAATTTTGTTAAAGGATAAGAATATATAAAAAGAAAAACAATATATATATTATAATACAGTAGAGCGTCGATTTTCCGAATCAATTGGGGACTGGGATTGTCCGGATAACTGATATTTCGGATAACTAATTTACGTACGAAAAAATAGTTTAACGTATCCGATGTCGAAATTTTTCTCCGTTGCGTGTCGCTTCGCGTTGAATTTTCGTCGATGTTAAGCCTAAC